CCATAACTCAGGCCAGCCTGGAAGGCACCTGTCTCAGAGCTTCCCAAGGGCTAGGATTACAGTTATGCACTACCACACCTGGCTCAACTCCACTGTGTGAAGATAAATTTCAAGACAGACAAGTCTGCTTCTTTGAAACCAAGAGCACTATTTATCTTGAACCAAAAAACAAACACTGACTTCACAATAAAAGTCATCAGGCACCTTGTACTGATACTTTGGCCCTCTTCTCAACACATTCTGAGTCTTCAATTGGACTCAGAATATTAATATATTTTTAGGGTTTTTTTTTTGGGGGGGAAGTCTGGTGGTGGGGCCTGAACTCTGGGCCTGGGCACTGTCCCTCAGCTCTTCAGCTCAAGGCTAGCTCTCTACCACTTGAGCCACAGTGTCACTTCCGGCTTTTTTCTTTTTGCTTATGTGGTGCTGAGGAATTGAACCCAGGGCCTCAGGCATGCAAGGCAAGCACTCTACCACTGAGCCACCTTCCCAGCTCCTATATTTTTAGTTTTTATTGTTATTATTTTTACTGTTACAGTAAAGGTGATGTACAGAGGGGTTACAATCACCTAAGTTAGGCAAAGAGCACATTTCTTTTTAAACAAAGTTACCTTTTCTCTCATTTTCTCCCAGTTTATCCCTCCTGACACTTCCAAAAAGTTGCATAGTTCATTTTCCACAGTGTCTAGTGAGTGTCACTGCTGCATTTTGTTCACTCTTTGTCCCATCATTTTTGTGCTCCCTTTTGCCCTACTCCAAACAGATAAATTTACATATAAAGATACAGAAAACAAAAACAATGACAAAGGAGAAAAAAAGAAAGAAAAGGAAAACATAGGGGCTGGGAAGGTGGCTCAGTGGTAGAGTGCTTACCTTGCATTCATGAGGCCCTGAGTTCGATTCCTCAGCTCCACATAAGCAAAAAGAAAAAAGCCAGAAGTGGCACTGTGGCTCAAGTGGTAGAGTGCTAGCCTTGAGCTGAAGAGCTGAGGGACAGTGCCCAGGCCCAGAGTTCAGGCTCCACAATCGGACTCCCCCCTACAAAAAAAGAAAAGGAAAACATAAACCTCTTGTTTCCATTACTTGGAGTTTATTTCTATAAACAACAACCCAATTAATAAATGGGTTAAAGATTTAAAGAGAGATTTCTCAGAAAAAGAAGAAGATGTTGAGTATCTCTGGGCATAAAAGAGATGCAAATCAAAACAACGCTGTGATTCCCCAGTTAGAATGGCCGTTTCAAGAAAACTAACATTGATAGATGCTGATGGGGATTTGGCCAAAAGGGAATATAAATTTGTTCAACCATTCTGAAAAAGTGTGGAGGTTCCTCAAAAGACTAAATATAGAACTTTGCAATTATGCAGCAATCCCATTTCTGGGTCTTTATCCAATAGAACAAAACAAGGCCACACTAAAGCTACCAGGACATCCATGTTCATTGCAACATTGTTTAGCATAGCTGAGATATGGAATCAATCCACATGCCCCTCAGTGAATGAATGGATCAAGAAAATGTGGTATATATGTACAATGGAATTCTATGCTTCCATCAGAAATAATGATATTGCACTATTTATAAGGAAATGGAAAGATTTGGAAAAAGGTATATTAAGCAAAATAAGCCAGACCCAAAGAAACATAGGTTGCATGGTTACCTTCATTTGTTGCTATTAAAAAAAAAAACCTCTCATATTAGTGCAGTGAGAATCAGTGACATAGATCTAGTCCTTTTAAGACATAGATCTAGACTTTTAAGAAGAAATAAACTAATATTGAGTGATTAGAGAAATATATAGACAATACTTCACTAAATTGTCTAATGATTGCTGTTAAACAGTTAAAGCACAATAACAAAAAGGTTACTTGAGATTATCATGGTAGATATAGGGACTACCACCATTGAAGTTTACAATGGGAAGAGATTGGCCTCTGCTCCACATACAGCATAGGCAAGTGGGAATTTTCTCCTAAGGGGCAAGCTGGATGTGAACTGGATGAGAAATTACTAGAAGGAAACATCAGATCAAAGAGAAGATTTGGGCTAACCTGACCTAACAGGATTCCTGTTGAAGACAGGCCAACGTGATCAGATATCACTGAGTATGATGGAGGCTAAGAGCCAATCAGACATTAAGGATGGTCAGATATCCAGGCTGAGCATAGCAGAGTTCTATGTTAAAATTGGGTTTTACAAGGCAATACACAGATTAAGGAGAAAGTTCAGGAGCTTGACTGAAGTTTTAGTACAGGTACAGCAGAGACTCTTAGTACTGTTGGTATTCTGGTTAGAGAAACATGTGGCCCAAACATATACAGTCCAAGTTAAGTCACTGTTAATTTCTATGTCAATTATACCGAGAAAATTGATATATTGATGGAGAGTATTTTTGCATAGTGTATTGCCCTTTTCAACATCATTCTGACATTCTATGTCTTCTGTAGACATAAAACCTCCTATAAATGTGAAGACAGTGTTCTTCTATTAATCTCCTAGAAGAGGGAGGATCATGGCAGAGGGACATGAGAGAGACAACAGAGAACAACTTGACGATGGCTCTGAGACATGAGTTTCAGAGACCTTGGCAGGAAAAACAAATGGTGCAGGTTTCCACTTTAAATTAGGGGCCAGCTTTCTTAATCCAGTTTATGCAGCTATATCAGACTACCATAGAAAAAGCAATTTATAAAGAAGAGAAAAAATACTTTTCAGAGTTTCACAGGTTAGAAATCCAAGATCAAGTTACTAGTGTTTGGTCTGGTGACACAGTCTTCTTGCTATGTCCTTACAAGGTGGAAGTCAAAAGGGCAAGAGAGAATAAAGCTGTGTCTTCACCCAGCAGGAGAATGAGAGAGAGCTAAGCTTTTCCCACAAGTCCTGCTTCCAGCAGTATTAGCCCATTCAGGAGGTGAGAGCTCTTGTATACTAAATAAGTCCCATTAGGCTCCAGCTCCTGACATGTTGTATTGAGAGTTAAATTGCTAATGAACCTTATGCTTTAGATTGAATAGAACGTGGCATTCTGCCCCCAGAAACTATGAAGGCAAATGTGGGAAGAACAGGAAACTTGGTGAAGATAATATACCAAGAAAGTTTCCACCATCCTTTTGTTATGATACAACACTGCAGCAAGTAATTAGATATATTAGGTTTTTAGACAGATCAGACAAAGGTCATTCCAGAAAGACATTTTACATATTCAGTAGTGCATCTGACCTCGTCTATAAAAATGTTAAGATAGGACCGAGTAATTAGATTAATATAGTGGACATTAACTAGGTTTCACATAATACTGTCAAGCATTACCTCTTTAGTCATACAAGGAAACACCAAATTAAACACCGAAGAATAAGTAAGTAATCTTAGTTATGTATTCGCTGAAGAAATTAATAGAATTTAGCAAAGACTTTCTTCTATAATTGTAAATTTGAGATTAAAAATAGGAGAATTAAGGGAAGAAGAGAAAAGAAGATAATGCTCCAAAAATTAAAAGAACAAAAATCAAAAGACCGTCTATACAAATAAATACAATATTTTTTGTACCAGTACTGGGGCTTGAACTCAGGGTCTGGATGTCATACTTTAGCTTTTACAATTCAAGGTTGGCACACTACCACTTGAGTCATATTTCTACTTCTGGCTTATTGGTGGTTATTTGGAGATTAAGTCTCGTGGACTTTTCTACCTGGACTGACTTGGAACCACAACCTTCAGATCTCATCCTCATGAGTAGCTAGGATTACAGAAATGAGGCCAATTCCTAGTCATACTCAGTATTTAGTAAACAAGAATGATAGTGCCAAGTTTTGTTTTCTTCAAAATTATCAGAATTCAATATTATCTCAAGGTCAGAAGGCTATGTTAAGAAATGAAAGACTTGCATAAAGTCCTGTTTTTCCATAAAAAATAAGAAGGTCTTTTATTATTCTTTGGAGGAATAAAGAAACTGCCGTTCACAGGAATAGTGGTGGAACAAAACTTCAGAGGGAAGACAATTGTTCTAGCTTCAAAGCTGGAAACATTCACATTAGGATGGATGAGGGAGAAAGAAGAGAGCTTCCAGAAAGGTCCACTGCCGTCTTAAGTAGCATTTCATGTAACTTGTTAACCTGCATCCTGGAACCCTTGAACCAATTGTTCATAAAGAATGAGGCCACACACTAATTTGTCCCCAGAGAATATAGAACATTATTATAACCAATAGTTTCATTTGTTGAGAATTACATATTAATAATAGCTAACAAGAAATTATCTTACTTAAATTACTCTTTTCCTTATTCTTTCCTTATCAAAGAGACCAGTGAAAACATAAATGAATGGACTTCAGGAAATACTTGAATGAAGATAAAAACAAGGTGCCCAATTTATCACCTACCAAGTAAATAAAAATTGGTGTTTCCTTCCTGTTGTATAGAAAAAAAACATTCAGGAGAAATCACAAAGCTTAAAGAATAATTGGACCCTTATAGTCAATACCAATAGTCAAAATACCAACGAATCATAACAAGTAATTGAGCTCTTCTATGCCAGGCTCTGTATTACACACTCTATATGAACTGGTATTTCATTCACCTACAACACTCACATAGTAGATATTGCTGCACTCATTTAATAGTTGAGAAAGGGCTGAGGGTACACCTCAGGGCTAAAGTGTTTGCCTGGTATATGTTTGTCCTGAGATCAATTCCCAGCACTGAAATTGTTTGACTTTACATAGCAAAAACTAGAATCCTAGTTTTCTCAACTGAAAAGAGAAGACCTATATGTTTTATTTTATCTTGTTTTTTTTTTCATTTAAAAACATGCTTATTTAGCAACTGAACAAGTCATCATAGCTACATCTGCAATTCTGCAGAACTGGTCCTCTAGCAGGATAGGGCATTTCCAAGAATTTCCCAGCTCTGTAATTCCAGTACATCTGCCCTTGTTTTCTCTGTCCAGTGCTTGTATGAATGTACGTGTTCCTTTGGTGATCTCACACTTCCTTGTCTGCCTACAGGTGGTGGGCAGGGGAGTGGGAAGCCTGTTCAGCGACGTGTGGCCCCTATGGAGAAAAGAAGCGAACGGTGCTGTGCATCCAGACCATGGGCTCTGATGAGCAAGTTCTCCCAGCTACAGACTGCCAGCACCTGCTGAAGCCCAAGGCCCTCATTTCCTGTAACAGAGATATCTTGTGTCCATCAGACTGGACAGTGGGCAACTGGAGTGAGGTAAGCTCAGAGGCTAAAGGGGAAGCTCACATTACTAGTGCTTCATCAGCTCTCCACCCATTCTTTCTCATTAACCAATCCAAAGTGACCGTAGGTAAAATTGTATAATGGATGCCATCTATGGTCTCTGGCCTGTTTCTGCATTTCCTACTACCCCATTTTCTGTTTCCCATCCTTACAAGTTGCTCTTACTACTCCAGTGGTCAACTATGCACTGCTGGTGGATCCCTAGCAGTACAGGCTCATGAGAACTGATATTGAGGTTTTTGCTAACTCATTGTTCAGCCATTGGTAATAAATCAAAGCTCCCCACTTACTCCAAATGCCACTTGTTGAATACTTTTCAGTACTTTGTTGTTAGCTAAAACCAAGCGAATGCTGCCTAATGGTAGGATAATGGGGAATATATTTAACACTTAGAAAAGCCCCCTCAAGTTATCCATCTGTTCAGGTTGTGTTTAGGACATCTATTATTAGTCACATAAATTTGAGTAAGCATTGCATTTTTCCAAAATTAATTTGCTTTAATTCTCTGAGTGTAATTAGAAGTCAGAAGGCTGGAAGGTTGTGAAAATCTCCTAAGCTTTAATTTTCCATGGGTCACTGTGGAACCTGATTCTGTCAGCCTGGTACTCCAGCAATGATTGGGGAAGTAAGCCTCCTCCTTTCCAGTCTCCAAGGGCTTCTGTCTCCTGGTGGGTATTTTAGACACTGATCTAAGGAGTGTGTATATGATTTTTTAAACCAAAAGGATGGAATTTTGAGACAGAATGCTCATTGATGAGCTTCCCAGAGAAGCTACAAGCTTTCTATAATATTATCATTGACTAAGATATTGCTGGCACTCCTCTAAGGACTTACCTTCAAGAAAAATGGAAAATATCTGATAACTGATTAATGAGTAATGTAATCAAATGAGATTAGGCTGTTGAATTTCAAAAATAATGTTTTATTATAAAAATGAGATTAATTTTCTTGTATAGATTATGGAAATGTTCTGAAAACATTATCAAAACAATTCTAACATTTATATCAGCAAAGCTACCTACCTTTTTGGAAAACATTTCCAAAACGCTGTTCATAAGCTAATAATCACTATCAGGCTTATTTAGTTTTCTATTTCTGTGCAAGATACTTTGTAAGACATCAAATGAAAATCAAAAAATAGAAAGGATGGGTACTAGATAGCAAGAACTTCCTATTAAATGAGAAAAGAAAGAAGAAGAAGAAAAAAAGTATAAAAGAAATATACCCACCAATAGAGACAGGTGTATTATGGACACAGAACTGATAAACAGAATATTTACTCTGCTTCCTCTAGGAGGCAAAGCCACGGGGTGTGGTTGGCCTGGCATTTTAGTCCACTGCCAATCTAGATTGCTACAAATTGCAGTGTTGTCAAAATAAGGCTGAATGGGCCACTGTGATTGGCCCATTAAATCTGTTTGCCACAATGGTGTTGGCTGCATTCAAAACAACTAATAATTTTGTCATGTAGAATTTACTAACTGCAAGATCTTAATGGTTTCTAACAAGACTGCAATTATAGATTTGGTTGAGAAGTTCTTTTACTTATGTTCACATGTTTAGAGAGCATAATAACCTGTCTGAACTGGAAAGCAGGGATCCAAAGAGCTGTCACTATATGACAAGAACTGGTGTATGTCTGTGGTTCCAAATAATATACCACTGCAAGTAATCCACTGTCTCGCTTCCAGTTGACAGAGCTGAGCAGAAGGCTGATGTCTTCATTCAGGAGATGTTACCTGGAGAAATGCTTTTAGTTAAATCAGCATCCAAAAATTCACCAAATGGATCGTCCTTGCTTCCATAACAAACAAAAAAGCATATAAAATCATCAAGCATTAGTCCATTACATATTCATGCATGTATTTATCAAACATGCAGTATGCATATTCAACACCTTTATGAATATTAATACATTTAATTCTCACTACTGTCTTAGTTCCATTTTGTAGGCAGAGAAAGTGAAGCACAGAGATGTTTAGAAAGTTGTTCCAGGTCACCTAGCTATCAAGTGATGGAGCCAAGATCTGATGCCCACAGCAGAATTTCCACACTGAGCCCTGTGCCACACTGCATTTCAGATGTCTCGAAATATAGCAATACAGCAGTTCTTGGAAATCATAAGAAATGAATTATGTTTGGAAATAATTTACCATCATTGTTTGTCACTTTGATGGAATTCCAGACTGCATGATGATGGCTGAGATCTCAGAGCCTCTCAAAAACTAATCTCACCACATAATTTCAAAAGGAAAAGAGAAAAGGGCCTTTCAAATTATTTTTACAGCAACATGTTGTATTTCACTGACAGTAGAGATGCATTTGAATGTATTTGATGGGACATTAAGTGAACCCTCCAAAACCAGATGTCCTCAGGATCTACAAGATCTTTTATTTTTAAATTTTGGCAAACATTTATTTTACTATAACAGGATTAAGTATGGAGAAATGGTGAAGAGAGAGAAAGGGGGGTCCTGATCTCTATGTAGGAAAGGGGAATTAAAGACTCCTACAAATATTGTTTTTAATCTATCCTTTCTATGGCTGACAAAAACATACAAACAAAAGAACAAAGCAGTCAATCAGCCAAGTTGCTAAGTTTTTAAGGTATGGGAGTGTTACATTAATCAGTTTCTTAGCACTATAACAAGGATTTGTAAGAGCTAGGTTAAAGGTGTAAGGATTCGTTTGGCTCAAGCTTGAGGTCTCAGTACAAGGTTATCTGTCTCTATTACTTTCTGGTCCATGGAAAGGCAGAAGCATCACGGAGGAAGGGAATGAATGGTGGAGGAGGAAAGCTGCTCACCTCATGGCAATCAGGAAACAGAGTAATGGGAAGCTGCAAGGCCAGATATCTCCTTCAAAGACACATCCCCAGAGGCCTACTTTCTTCAACAGGCCTTATCTCTTCCTACCACCTCCAAACAAAGCCATCAAGGGATTAGGCTAAATCCCCGTGAGGTCAGACCCACTATGATCCCTCTCTGGTGCCAGAGCTAGAGACCACATCTTTAATACATGAGCCTTCTGAGGAGGCCACTTCATGGCCACGCTGTAATAAATATAGGGTCACTAAAATAGACCAAGTGTTGATTGTAAAGGAGGGGATTATTTTTGTTCTTGTTTTAGTTTTTTATTTTGCTTTGGGGGAGTTTGGGGTTTTTTTGTGAGGTTTTGTGTTGCTTTTTATGTTGGTCCTAGGGTTTGAACTCAGGGCCTAAGCATTGTCCCTGAGCTTTTGCGTTCAAAGCTAATAGCCCTCTATCACTTGAGTCCCAATTCTACTTCCAGCTTTTTGGTGGTTAACTGGAAAGAAGAGTCTCTTTCCTGCCTGAGCTGGCTTCAAACTGCAGTCCTCAGCTCTTAGTTTCCTGATTTGCTAGGATGATAGGCATGATCCACCAGGGCCACAAAAACCAATGGCATTTTTATTGCTAAATGAGAAGCAAAACAAGACACACATTAAGCCACAAGAATTCCTATATAGAGGAAGAAGAAGTAATAGGGAGAGATAGGATATATTTCTAAGAGCCACTTGCCCTCTGGTATTCCTTAGGTTCAGTTAAGGTTCCCAGACATTGATCCCTGGTGATCTGACCTTTAATCCTCTCTGCTTTGGCATGAGTTATCTATAAGTGTCACCATTCCAGTTCCTTCTTGACATCAGCAGCCTGTGCTCTGCCAGGTTTCCAGGGGGAAACATGAACACTTTTGTTTGTTTAAAACACCTACTCAGAGAAAACCACTTGGAGGCCATATTGTTGCTCTTTAATCATGTCTGATTTTTTTTAATTGTCTAGCATATTCCATTACTGTTCTAGGACCATCCCAACAAGGAACTACAAACTAGCAGGCTTACAAGACAGAAAAATTCTTGTCTCACGGTTTTAGAGGCTAGAAACCTGAGATAAAAGTCCCAGCAGGGTTAACTTTCTTCCTTCCAAAGGCTATGAAGGAAAATAATTTCATGACTAGTTCTTATTTTCTGGTAATGTCCTGGCATTCTTTGATATTCCTTGGATAGAAAATGGATCACTACGTTCTCCCTTCATCTTGCCATGTTATCTTCCCTGTATATGTGTCTCTGTGCCCACATTCCCAAATCACGTTGGCTTAGACACATGATACTGACCTCCTCTTGATTACCTCTGTAATTTCCTGTGTTCAAGGAAGGCTTCATTCTGTGGTTGGGATATTAGGACTCTAACATACCTTAGGTAGTTTGTTTTTGGTGGGGCCTAAGGGCTTTGACTTACTTACAAACCTGATTTCTGTAGGAGCTGTAGTCATTCGTGACTCTACACACCAAATGTTTTAAAGTATTAGCTATTTCTTTACTTGGCCTGTTAGCCCGAACCCCCTGAGAAACTCCAACTTTGTCTTCGAATAAATTCTCTCAGTGCCAGGGCTCTGTTAAGCCCCACCTGCTTCTTTCCTGCTGTGTATCTCTGGTGAGGGAAGGAGACCAATTAAGCAGCAGAACCATTTTTAAGCAGGCTTCCTTGCCCCAGAGACAGTTTAATTCAGGAGTGATAACTGGGAAGGGGACAAAAACAGATTGGCAAACTGCTTGCCTGGTACAGGGTTCAAAATTATAAGGTGAGAGCATATGATAATCATAGCTAAAAGTAGCTGTGAGAATTCTAAAACCACCAATTGAGAAAGTTCCAAGTGTGGTGTCATGTACTACATTTTTCTCATCTGAAGGGCTTGACAGCTCCTAAGGAGATAAATGCACTGGAAGAAGTATAGGATTGAATACAAAGCAGCACTGCTTCTTCTGGAATAACTATGAGGGGAAAACAATCAAATGTTTGGGCCCAGTGTGCTCTGGCTTGTTGAGTACAACATGTCCCGACACCACAAAATAGCACCCACAAGCTATCTGAAAGAGTCATTGTCTCCTAGGTAAGGAAATGGAATGTGAACAGAAGGTAGCTGTGACTAGAAAATACATACTCCAGCCATACCTTAGGTCTTCATTAATGATTTTTTGAGTTGTCACTTGGGAATAGGACCAGTGAATGTTGATCATCTGCTATTGTAAGAGAAGCCACAATCTAGAATTTTATTAATATGAAAAAGCTTCTTTTCCCATGTGAGTAATAGCTGTCTCTCTTTTCCAGTGCTCTGTTTCTTGTGGTGGTGGAGTGCGGATTCGCAGTGTCACATGTGCCAAGAACCATGATGAACCTTGTGACAGGACAAGGAAACCCAACAGCCGAGCTCTATGTGGCCTCCAGCAATGTCCGTCTAGCCGGAGAATTCTGAAACCCAACAAAGGCACAATTTCCAATGAGAAAAATCTACCAACATCTGATCCCTCCAAGCCCATCCCTCCACCTACCCTCAGGCCCACGGTGCTGACCACACCAATGGTGACTGAGTCTGTGAGCCTAAGCACTCCAGCCATCAACAGCACTAGCTCCACCACAGCCTCCAAAGGAGACCTGGAGGGAAAAAACTGGCAACAGAGTTCAACCCAAGCTGAGCTAGACACCCACCATCTCATTTCCCCTGGAAGCACTTCTCAGCCGGCTCTCACTTCCTGGTCTTTGGGCACTCAGCCCAATGAAGGAAATGTTTCCAATTCAGATACCACTGCTGCCTCCCAGGAAGACAGTACATCCACAGCAACAAGTGGTTCTGACTTGGCATCATCTAGCTATGCTGTGACCTGGCAGATAACTACTTTCTGTAATACCTTGACCAGAGATCCAGACATGGAGATTCAGAGTGGTTCAGGGGAGGGTAGTGAACAGCATGAGAACAAAGATGACAGTAACTCGGTAACATGGAGTAAGATCATAGAACCTGAAAAGGATGATTCAGCAGAAAGAGGTACAGAGATACCACTTGGACCTCCACCAACACCTTATCTTGAGGATCATTTCTTGAGTCCTTTCAGCACTGAGAGGGAAGGACTCCTACCTAGCCCAAGACCCATTACCTTTAAAAATGGGACCCTCAGAGCTGAGAGTTTGGTCACTGAAAAGCCGAGTCACAGCCCATTCCCTCTTGAAGGAGACCACCAGACAGTACCTTCAGAGAAGTCAGCAAACTACACGAGTGTTACACAAGGCGCTGGACCTGTTACACAAGGTTCTAGACCAGTCCTGACCGAGGAAGATGCATCCAGTCTCATTGCGGAGGGGTTTTTGCTGAACGCTTCTGATTATAAGCAGTTCTCCAAAGGCCACAGACCTGCATACTGGATTGTTGGAAACTGGAGTGAAGTAAGAGGTTCTGTTTCTTACCCCAGTCCTATACCTAAGGGTGTACTCTTCCCGTGTAATTTTAAAAATGAACTTGCATTAAAATATAGTCTAAGGATTGAGCTCAGAGACTCAAGCCTCTAATCCTAGCTATTGGGAAAGTAGAGATTTGGGGATCTCAGTTCCTAGCCAACCCAGGCAAAAAAAAAAAAAAAAAAAAAAAGAATTCACAAGACTCCATCTCAAATAGTTGCTGGGCACAGCAACGTGTAAATTTCATTCCAAAACCACAGATAGGAAGATCTCAGTTCAATCCGTTTGGGCATAAAATGAGATCCTATTTTAAAATACAATCAACAGGGTTGGCAGAGTGGCTCAAATGGTACAATGACTATCTAGCAAGTGTGAGACCCAGAGTTCAAAATAATTAAAAAATAAACAAACAAACAAAGTATCTGAGTCTGGAATGATGGGTCCTGTCTATAATTCTGGTACTCAGGAAATTGAGACAGGAAGTTCTAGAGTTGAGGCTATATAGTGAGTTTGAAGTCAGCTCAGGCTATGTGTATCAAAGGAAAGAGAGCATGTGATGTTCAATGGAAAGAAGCTGAGAAAGTCAGGATACCTAGGACAGTCAGCTATGTGATCATGGGAAATTCAGAGAATTTATCTTTGGGTGCCTGCTTTCTGTCTACAGGATGATAGGGCTAGTATAGATTATAACTCCTTTTATTGGTGAGCTATACCTAGTTGATTTCTTTTTCCTAGTCTCAAGACATTTAAAAATTCACCTTAAAGTTGGGCAGGATGGTACATGACTGTAATTCCAGCACTTAGGAAACTGACAAGAGGATCTTGAGTTCTAAGCCAGCCAGAGCCTCGTAGCAAGATTCTGTCTCAAAGAAAATTCATTTAAACTCATTGTAAAAGTTAGAATTTAGAAGAAGGAGAAAGTAAATGTGATGGAAATCATTGGCCTTTATTTTCGGTCTCCAGATACTTGTTTTTCCATTTCTAGAATTAATGAAATCTTTTGAGGCAATAAAATCATTTCTCGCCTATTTGAATTTTGAATGTACAATGTGTGAACTTGTTAAAAATAATGTGATCCTGGGGCTGGGAACGTGGCTTAGTGGCAGAGTGCTTACTTAGCATGCATTGACCTTTGGGTTTGATTCCTCAGTACCACATACACAGAAAAAGCCAGAAGTGGCATGTTGTTCAAGTGCTAGCCTTGAGCAAAAGAAGTTTAGGGACAGTGCCCAGACCCTGAGTTCAAGACCCAGGACTGCCAAAAAAAAATAATAATGTGATATCCATAAAGAGAATGTGAGGCAAAATAATCATCATCCAGCATTTGTGACATTTCATATCATATTTCCTTTGGTAAAGAGAGGGGAGATATTAGTATGTCATGTAAGAAAACAATGCAATTATAACCAGACATAGAGCATGCTAATTTTCAACCTACTGTCACCTGTCCTTTCTTATAAGAGGGGTAATCCTGGAGAATATTATATTATTTATATTAATTTACAATTAGAAATCTTAAGATGTTTAATTGTTGAGTGACTTGCCTAAAGACCCCATTGCAACTGGATAATGAACTTTCTCTTTCCACTCTGACCTGCTATATCTTCTCATGGCTTTTAGCACAAATTGACAATTTACAACTATAGGATTCTTTTGTAGAATTTAATCAGTCTCTTTGGTCATGGAACTGTTATATCATAAATAAGTATCTAAATTCAAAGCTTTATTTTGAATCAAATGTTATCAGTATTTGCCTTTGGATTACTTTTATGATTCAGCATCTTATTATCTCCATTCATAAGAATCCTGCTTCAGGGATATATATATTTTCATGTTCACAGAAATCTAATTTATTGAAAGAAAGATGAAGTAAGAACTAGGCCTCATAATCCAAGCATTTTGATCACATTTCTTTCCTAATAATGGGAATACATTGTCAATAATAGTGATAAAGCTTACAGGATGCATTAAAGGCATGATTTTAAGCTAATTAGCATGACCTTGGTCATTTAACCTTACCACAGCCCAAGGATATTGATAATACTTTTTTCTGTTTTACAGATGTGGAAACTGAAGCTGAGGAAGGTTAAATTTGTAGCCAAAATCCTGTGAGGGATGGGCAGGGATATGATCTCAGGCAGACAGACTTCAGAGCTCATTATTCTTTGCTTTACACATCAGAAAACATGGCCCTCCCCTGTCCTGTTGGTTTATTTTATTGCTCCTTTGGTCATATTACATAAAACAACACTAATTTTGTGGTGACCCTGGATGGACACATGAGAAAATCATGTAGTTCACAAGAAAGTATTTTACACTAACACTGATTCACACTTTTGATTCACATGGCAAATGGTCCGTAGGGCATCACTACAGTGAATTCAGTGTATTTATTCTGACATAAAATTCATCTGTTTAGGTATTTTTAGAATGATCTAAAACATATCAAAACAGTACTCTCAAATTTTCTCTTTCCTTCCAAAAAAAAATCTGCCCTCTTTAAAAATCAGATAACCAGGCTACTGTCTTCTCTTAGTCAAAGCAGTTTGGACAATAAGCTTCTTTAAGCTTACTGGATTTAATTGCCGGTGACTCTGGGGTATCCAACTGATGACTTGGGGATTGTTGTGTGTCTGGATCTGAAGTTCTTGGGAGAGAACAGAACTCAAGATAAGATCTGGTAGTCATGGCTGATGGGGGATATTAGAGTGTTCAAAGTGACTGAGATTACCCCAAAATACCTGCAAAAGTCAGTGGATGGGGAGATGAGACCAGGGAAAACATAACATTTCAAGAGTCTTCCTCACAGAAAGAATCCTGACAGAAAAACTAATTAGCAATAAAGCAATACTTAAGACTATTAGACCCTTGGTACCAGCTAGGTGGTACTGTTAAGGTCTAAGAACAAAAGAGTAGGCCTATTGAATTTGACAATTAGCAGGTCATTGGTGACACTGGGGCGTACAATTTCAGTTTTGAATGGAAGAAGATATGAATTTGGGTAAAAAGAAGGGGGAGTCCCTTAAGGGACTATCTCAGTAATAAATAGTGTCCTACATTAGGACTACTAATAAGGAGAGACAAGTCCTTCTTGGTCCACAAGTTAATACAAAAGTCTCATTAAAAAGTAGCTCTGAGGGGAATGGGAATGTGGCTCAGTGGTAGAATGCTTGCCTTGCATGCATGAGGCCCTGGCTTTGATTCCTCAGCACCACATAAGCAGAAAAAAGCTGGAAATGGCGCTGTGGCTCAAGTGATAGAGTGTTAGCCTTGAGCTGAAGAGCTGAGGGACAGTGCCCAGGCCCAGAGTTCAGGCTCTGAGCTGGGCCCCAATTGCTCACACCTGTAATCCTTGCTACTCAGGAGGATAAGATCTGAGGATCATGGTTCAAGCAAAGTTCATGACATTCTTATCTCCAGTTAACCACCAAAAACCAAATGTGTGATCAAGTGCTAGAGCATTAGCCTTGAGCAAAAATTCTCAGATACAGCAGCCAGGTTCTGGGTTCAAACCCCAGGATTCACATACACACACACACACACACACACACACACACACACACACACACACACACACACACACACACACACACACACACACACACACACACACACACACACACACACACACAGAGTTTGAGGTTTTTTTCCCATACTCTTATCTTTTCATTCATCCTCAAATCCCAGAGAATTTGTGAAATTATTGTATTTAAGTGTGTTGTCAGGATGGGAATGTGGCTTAGTGGTAAAATGCTTGCCTAGCATGCATGAAGCCCTGGGTTCGATTCCTCAGTACCACATAAACAGAAAAAGCTGGAAGTGGCGCTGTGGCTCAAGTGGCAGAGTGCTAGCCTTGAGCAAAAGAAGCTCAGGACAGTGCCCAGACCCTGAGTTCAAGCCCCAGGACAGGCAAAAAAAAATGTCATGATTTTGCCCTGTGGATATTTAATATATGTTAATTAACTGACATGTTGCTTCAATAAGAAATTGTTACAACCAAGTAAAATATGCAAAATAAATTGCACATCAGCCATGATGACTGTTTGAACTCAGATTATAGCAAATCAAGACCCAAGAATTAATTTTGACTCAAATGTCATTTGACTTTGACAAAAATAAGCTGTTTTATTCAATACATCACAGCTAATCAAAACTGAGCCATTGATATCTGCTAGTTCTAGGCAGTTTGACTCAAAAAGAGGAATTGACACATTGAAATATTTATAATCACATGGGTATTATGAAATTAGAGCTCCACATTGAGTGGGAGTCCAGTTCATAATGAGGCCTTGATGTCTTCTCTCTCTACGTATGTTTTAGGATTACATTATTTTTTGTATGAGATTATCACCGGTCAGGGCTCAGAGTAGAAGCTATCAGTTTTGAGTTTCTCATTTGTCTCTGATTTTTGTGCTGCTCATTCCTGAAGCTATTTCTTTGGAACAGCCTCTTTCCATAGTCAGAAAGGTCACATACTTCTTAAGCACTGTTCCCCAACTCTAACATCACCACTGATGTCAATCTATCTCTTACCTACTAAAAATCCCTACCAGTTCAACTCAGTACCACTTCACTATTCTTCTATCTACTCTATTCCTCTTACTGTAAGGATTAATGGTTTCTAATGGTAGATGTAGTAGGAGAGTCAGTGGGCTTGTTTTTGTTTGTTACAATGATGGAGGCCGCAGGGAAGACTGAGAGAGGGCTGCTTGTCTGAGAGCCAAGAATGATTAAAAAGCCCTGCAATGTTGAAGTAATACTCTTCTCTTTTAAGGGAGAATTGTCCAGTACAAGAAGACAGTGGTTCCATAGCTGAGAATGCAGGATCTGTGGTTCTAACTCTTGCCTGGGACTTCTACTTTTGTTTCCTGTTTGGCCTGTGTGCCTTCATTCTCTCCCTTTTCCAGTCTTTTCTACTAACTCTTGCAAGCCTGACAACAGTATCATTTTTGTCCTCCAAAAGATTTTTCTAAGCTGGGTGCTGGTGGCTCATGTCTGTAATCCTAGCTACTCAGGAGACTGATATCTGAGGATCATGGTTCAAAGCCAGCCCTGGCAGGAAAGTCTGTGAGACTCTTATCTCCAATAAATCACTAGAAAATCGGAAGTTGTGCTGTGGCACAAGCTATAGAGGCTCTCCTTGAGCTGAAGAGCTGAGGGATAGTGCCCAAGCCCAGAGTTCAAGCCCCATGATGGACAAAAAAAAAAAAAAAAAGATTTGTCTAATTCTTCCAAAGTCCTGCTCACAAATTTTTAGTTTCCTTACTAACATACCAGATCAGGTCTACTAATACCATTAACCTCACTAATATGGTTTTCTAACCTTACTGTCTTCTACTTTTCTTCATCCATCTTATGCTTCAACAAATTCAAATTGCTAAAATCCTTAATGTCTGCCTATCCCAACAAATGCTTTCATTCAAGTTATTTCCTCTGCCTGGAATTTCCTTTTTCTCCTCCTCTGCCCTTTCCAATCGTACCCATTCTCCAAGAGCAAGTTTTGAGCTTCTTTCATAAAGGCAAGAAGTAATTCCTAAAATTCCTTAATGTTTAATGTGATATCTCTCTTACTTTGTGCTCCCAATTTTTGTCCCATAAAATTAAAAGACCATTAACAATAGGGGCCCTATTGTTCTTTTAGTATAGTTTTGAAAATTAGGTAATTGACAAAAACTAAATTGTAGATCTAAGACTTGAACTGGACTTCCCAAATTTGAATCATGGCTCACTTACTACCTGTATGTCCTCACCTTCCGTCTGTAATATGAAGTTAACTCTTGACTCATAAGACTGTTCTACCATCCCAGAAGTAACTATGAGTCACTTAGTTATAGAAGAGTATTAGGCACATAGGAGGCATGCAGGATGTGTTTGTTAAGATCCATGTTTACAACACTAGAAGTTTCATGCTATGCAATGTGCCAGGTATGGTTCTTATTTTGACAGAAATTCACCTCAGTGAACTATCTCATTCAGTTAGATCACTTGGCCAGTCAATTAAATGTAGGCTGTGTCATGTGAATAAAAGTGACAGCATGATTTTCCACAGCCTTTCACACAAGGCTGACATGATCTTCAACATCAGTTCCAGTTCTGAGCACCTGACTCCTGTTCTTGACCTGATTGAATGGTCATTAAAATCACTAAAATTGTTCATAGGATAACATCTTCAGGGTCTTCTTTTCTTCCTCATCCTCAAGTCCTTGTTTGAGACTTAAATTAGCAAAACTCTAAACAACAGAACCCTATTTTCACTTTTATTCCATGGGTTTACTCTTTTCAGTTTAATCTTTTGAGTATCACTGGGTAGCTAAGTAGAAATTCTTAGGAAGAAATACAGAAATATTTATTCGTGAGTAGAACTAGATTCAGACTCCCCCCAGAGACAATGTGCGCTATTTTGCAACATAAATAGTGCACAAAAAACTATAGCCTTCACTTGAGATTTAGAAGGATCATCCCTGATCTGGGAATTTAGACTAATTAAAAATTATCTTGGGGACTGAGAATATAGCTCAGAGCAAGGCCTTGCATTTGATCCCTAGCAGTACTTTCAAAACTCCTAGTTAGGTTAACTATTTTCTTTTTGCTCTACATAAGCACTTGAAATTAGTAGTATACTATCTATGTGGCTTTGTTCATGGCCCCTAGACTCTGTTGGCCCCCAGGTCTGGAAAGTGATACTATGTCCCTGACTCGGTGGCTGTGTTATGTTTGATAGGAAACAGTTATAAAACACTGAGGATGTCCAAGGCAGTATGCATGAGTGATTTTCATTAGTCCTGACAACAACCCAATAGTGGAGGTCTTGGTTATTACTAGTTTTACAAGCTAGAGGAGTTAGAGAATCACACAGCCTGGTCACAAAATTAGCCAACTGCAGAATTGAATTGTACATTAACAATTGTACCTTGCACCAAGAGATTCTACTTAGATCAGATTGGCTTGTTAGGTAGCTGTTGAAGGTCAGCCAAACGTAGACTATAATGACTTCCAAAGATCATTGACTGACTATAATCACCACCCAAAGTCTGGTCCACTGAGTTTCCTGGTTTTGTTTCTTGTGAGGTCTAATCATTCATCAGGCAGCCTGGGGCTAGTCTTGTGGCAAACTCAGGGGTCCAAAAGCAAGAGCAGAAAATATTATGTTCAAGCTAAACATGGGATATTTAAGAATTACAAATAAATGCAAACACCTTGAGAGAGATGAGCTTTACATATAAGAAAAAGTGACTGATTAATTCACCACTGGTGCATGAAGTAGAGAAAAGCATCATGTTGTGACATTTGTCTAACTCTAAGTATGGTATGTGGGCTAGCAGCTTCAGCATCAATGGTATAGAATCTTGGCAGCACTGCAGACCTCCTGGATCAGAGTCTGTAATGAACAAGGTCCCAGGTTCTTCCTCTAGGAACTAGAGTCGCACCGCTGTGGCAGACATCAAACTACATTGTGGCTATAGGAAACTTTATCTTACTCTTAGGGCAAGCCAATTCTCTAAGCTTCAGTGTTTTTATTTACACTGTAAAAATATCTGCCTGCATTCCAGAATTTGCTAGAGAAAGGAATTAGCGAGTGTCATTGCAGCATTAGATGGAGATGAGGAAAGAAGCATGGAGATCTCAGATGCTGCGCCACTCTGAAGAGCATTGGTTTGAGGCATGGCAGTGCACCCTCTACCTCCTAGGCAGGAGGTAAATGTAAATATGGTTTATTTACATATTTACGTGTGCATTGGGTTTTCCCCCTGCTTGTAAGCCAGAGATCCTTGACTCTGCTGTGTGTGTTTGTTTGTTGGGACTGAACTCCAGGCTTTGCTCTTGCAAGGCAGATGCTCTACCACTTGAGCCATACTCCAGTCCCTTTTTGCATTGGTTATTTTCAAGGTAGGCTCTCACTTTATGCTCTGCAGTTCTCCATGCTACTGTGGCTGAGAGATGCTGGATGCTACATCCAGCCATTGTGCTTGCCCTGTAGTTGGGATAACAGGTGTACACACCAAGCTCAACCACTGAGATGAATGTCCATAAACGTCTTATCTGCTCAGGCTAAGACCATGATGCCCAAGTAGCTAGGATTACAGGCTTGAGCTACTACACTTTTATTAAAGCTAGCAATGGTAAAAATTTAAATACTCAGAGATTCAGATGTTGTGTTGGTAGGAACTGTAGTGTCGGTATCATCTAATATCTCTGGAACAGTCTTAGAAGCTAGCACCAAGTCCTGGCCGAGTTCACCGACAAGCATGTCTGTCTCCACCTCTTTCTTCTTCCTCCTCCTCCTTGCTGCAGTGCTCCACCACCTGTGGATTGGGGGCCTACTGGAGGAACGTGGAGTGTAGCACCCAGATGGATGCCGACTGTGAGTCCATTCAGAAGCCCGACCCGGCTAAGAGATGCCACCTTCGTCCCTGTGCTGGCTGGAGAGTAGGAAACTGGAGCAAGGTAAGCTCTCAGGCTAGAGAGGAAGGAGTCTTTTGTAGCTCCTTGTTAATGGCATTTTCTCTTCTCCCTTCTACTGCCTCTTAAAAAACCATGGATAAACAAATCATGGGTGATACCATAGGCCTCGCTCAAGTTACATAAAATCTCAGAAGTTTAGAGTTTTTATTAACTCACCTACATTTCACCCGCCTGCCCTTTCTCTTCTGGATAAACTGGAACAAAAAGTTAAGTCTGCATAATTGATTGCTTTGTTCAGCATGCAATGCAATTTGTAAGTTATTTAAAGTTAGCATAATAATAAATAATTATATATTGTCACATATATAATTAAATCATGGCTTAGCAGCTCTTCACAAAACAAATACACAGTTTAATCTCCCAGACTTACAATGAAAAGAAAACTGGGATATAAAGAATAATTTGGTTATTAAAAGTACATTTTTCAATGCGGCATGGTAGTTGAGCCTATAATCCTAGCTACTTGGAAGGTAATGATCCCCCAGAGGATCATGATTCATGACTAGCCTGGGCATAAAATAAGTTCATGAGACTCCTCACTCAATGGCTGGGCTCAGTGACACATGCCTGCTATCCCAACTACAGAAGAAGCTGGTACAAGGGCATGTACCTTTTAGCCCCAGAGAATGGAACAAAGTAAGAAGATCCCAGCTCAGGCTGGCAGAGCATAAAGTGAGACCCTACTTCAAAACCTACCAATGCAAAAATGCAACTCAAGAGGTAGAGCAGCTGTCTAACAAGTGAGTAGGCCTGAGTTCAAACCTCTGTACTATCAAGAAAAAAAATGTATGTATTGAGGTGACATTGAGGTGATCTTTTTAATGCCCTTTTAATTGGGCCACGATTACTCGCTTTACTGTCACGTCCTGTATAGTCTCTTGTAAAAAAAGATGTCATGAATTGGTGCTTTGGGCACACTCACCAGGCCCAATCTACTTATCATCCTGCAGCAGAGCTATGTAGTCTTTGGGGATCCACTGGAACTCTAATGTTCCCTGTATGTTTCTGTCCCTTTGTCAGAGAACCAGTTTTCCTGACAGCTGAGCCACAGGCAAAGAGAAAACAAAGAGCAGAAGTGTGAGGAAGATTGAGATTCTGTCAATGTGAAGAGTTCATCCCCCCAGACAAATAGAACCACAGTGTAGAAATCTCTGATTCTTCTGGCAGACATACCTTCAGACAAGAGCATAAAGTACCACTGATACGCCTTAGGCCCTTCCCCAAAGTAAGGCTCTAATCTTCAGGAGAAAAGGAAGTGACACTGCTCCTTCAGAAAAAGTTCACTCATTCTTTGTCACCATTAATGAATGCTGGTTCTTTTTCTCTTCCAACTCATAACAAACTCAGAATCCAGCAAGGCCTGAATTTTAGCTACAAATTATCTTTCTTATCCAAAAACATCTCAAGAGTGTTTGGGATGTTTTTTTAAATCCCCGATTTTGCCAAATGCTGTGCTAATCCTAAAGTTACACTGTCCCCTCGCTGGGACTAATCAGTTCCTTGGAAACTGAGTGGCTTACAGAAGGACATGTACATGAAGTAGCTTGGAATTTTGAAAATTCCAGCCTGAGGAATTCTATTTGATATAAGACCATCAGCAAGAAATTAGAGAACTCATGTACAGCCAGGTCTCCTAAAGAAAGCCCTGTTTCTCTCTCCCTTTTACTGTTTTCAGATATATTGATTTTCCCCAAACCGCTTCCTAAGCTTTATCTCTGTCATATCATCAGTTTTTTTTTCCAGAAGGTAGTGACTACTACACCTAAAGTCTGATCGCTTCATTCCATCTCCTTTATAGGGCAATAAATAAATCTTACATTAAGGATATTATTTTAATCATCAAAGTCAATGGCTGATTTTTTTCTCACTGTTATGGTATCTTTCCTAGGAATGTTCATTTAGACCTTATCTTAAATTTTGGTGAGCAAAGGAAGCTCCTTCTTATTACCATGTTACTTACCCGTTCATATGGGTATCTGGAGTCCAAAATATGTATCAGGAAAGATTTAAGCCTTCTTTCTCAGCTTTAATGGGGTTGTTCCTTCCATCGAAGCTCACTGGGAGAGAAACCTCTAAAATGGGCAAATTGACTTCTGGTTTTGCCCTCAGAGAGTTATAGATTCTACTAAGTTGACATTTTTGCCTTTATTCAGATACCTTTTGCAGAAGTAAGAATTCTAATATGAGAAGGGAGTGGATAAATGAAAAAGCAAACGGGAAACAAGTGGAGACATAATACTCAATCTAACATGTGATAAAGGCAATGTGCAATGTGGCATGATACTGGGGGAGAGGAGGGACAGAGGATGGACGGGTGATTCTGATCAACAAGCACTGGGCAGCTGGCACCTGTGGATCACACCTGTAATCCCTAGCCACTCAAGAGGCTGAGATCTGAGAAGTGTAGTTTGCAGTGACCCCTGGCATGAAAGTCCATGAGATTGTTATTTCTGGCTAGCCATTTTTAAAAAAGGGCTATGAGTGAAACTGTGGCTCAAGAAGATACAAAGGCCTACTTTGAGTAAAGAGCCACGGAAGAGCTGGGCACTGGTGGCTCACGCCTATAATCCTAGCTACTCAGGAGGCTGAGATGTGAGAACCACAGTTCAAAGCCAGCCAGGGCAGGAAAGTCCATGAGACTCTTATCTCCAGAAGTGGCGCTGTGGCTCAAGAGGTAGAGCATTTGCCTTGAGCTGAAGAGTGCAAGGACAGCGCCCAGAGTTCAACCCCCATGACCGAAGGGAGAAAAAAAAGAGCCACAGAATGATGCCCAGGCCCTGAGTTCAAGACCCAGTACTGGTGTAAAACAATAACACTAGACAAAGAGGACATTTAAGGCTGGGAAGATGGCTCAGTGGTAGAGTGCTTGCCTTGCATGCATGAGGCCCTGGGTTCAATTCCTCAGCACCACATAAGCAGGGGAGGGAAAGCCGGAATTGGTGCTATGGCTCAAGTGGTAGAGCACATGTCTTGAGCTGAAGAGCTGAGGGATAGTGCCCAGGCCTAGAGTTCAGGCCCTACAACTGGACCACCCCCCAAAAAAGAAAAGAGGACATATAAAATGGATAGATATCAAAACTTGTAAAGATATATCTAACCATTGAAAGGTTTATCCAGACATTTAAAGAATTTTAATTTGTTTTAATTTTTTGTCAGTTGTAGGATTTTCACTCAAGGGTAGCACTCTAGCCCTTTGAGCCACAGTTCCATTTCTGGTTTTCTGGTAGTTAGAGATAATCCCCACTTGGGGATAATCAATATATCTGCGAACAATGAAAATGTGAGAGAAATTCAGGCTGGTTTTGAACCTCAGCCCTCTGATCTTAGCCTCCTGAATAGCTAGGATTGTAAGAGTAAGCCAAGGGTGCCCGACTTAAGAATTTTAATTTTATCTTGACTCTTTTACATTATTTCACCAGTCAAAGCCAGAAGCACTTGAATTCTAGGAGGGTAGGGTATGCTGCAATCTTTCCTGAACCCATGACACCACACCTGAAGTGTCCTGGTTCCTCGCTGGAAATTCTCCTCCAAGGTGATATCTAGATTACAGACTCCATACTACTCTTCTCCTTAATGAAGGCTGATTCACTGGCATGAGAGCTCCTTGTATCTGGCAGGAGAACAGGACTGCACATTCAGACTGTGACTTGCTTCTTCCCTTTCATGAATGAAGACATCTGCAACAAAATCAAGGTTGTTGTCCTAGATTTGTCCCAGAGGTAGACTTTAGAAAATGTAGCTCTGTGGGCTGGGAAGGTGGCTCAGTGGTAGAGCGCTTGCCTTGCATGCATGAGGCCCTGGGTTCGATTCCTCAGCACCACATAAGCAAAAAGAAAAAAGCCGGAAGTGGTGCTGTGGCTCAAGTGGTAGAGCACTAGCCTTGAGCTGAAGAGCTGAGAGACAGCGCCCAGGCCCAGAGTTCAGGCCCCACTACCGGACCCCAAAAAAGAAAGAAAGAAAGAAAGAAAATGTAGCTCTGAGGAATTAAATCCTAGAGGCAGTGGTAGACTTAAGTATCAGACCCATGTGAGATAGCGATTTGCCTTACTGTTAATTAGCATGTACAGTCACCCACTCATCTAACCTTTTAGGAGCATTAGTCTTCTCACCTCAGAAATGAAGTAGAAATGTTGCCTCTAATTACTCTACAGAGTTGTTGTAAGGATCAAAGAAACGTTTTAATCAGCTTTCCATCACTGGAATAAATACCTGAGATAATTAACTTGTAAATGAAAGATTTGTTTTGGCTCACCGTTTTAGAGGTTTCCATCCATAATACATTTAGTCTCTTTGTTTGGGGCCTGTGGCAGCACATTACGTGGTGGTAAGTACGTGGCAGAGCAAACATGCCTGCAATATCAGGAAGACCTCCCCCTAGGCTCTACCCTTTAAGATTCTACCACCTCCCAATAGTGCCAGGCTAAGAAACAAACCTTTAATATGAGGCCTGCTAGATCCATCAGTGTGCAAAAATAAATAAATTCATTAACTTAAAAAAAAAACTTTACAAAGGATAAAAGACTGTTCCAACAAAGCTTTTGATAACCTTTGATCTCTAAGCAAAAGTTAGAGCTAGCTATTAGGCTAACCTCTGGCAACCCAGTCTTTGGACCACAGGCTGGTGAACAAGTCATAATAGAGTTAAGTCCTACCAAGGGGTACTTGGCAGAGGAGTTTACTCTTTAGCACTAAGCAGATAGGGTACTCAAAATGTCTGTGAAGTTTGAAGGACTTGATCTACCTGTGGATGCCAGCACTTCCTGGGCACCTATTTGCCTAGTAAAGATGCTTTAGACAAGTGACTTCATTATTACCCTGATACAGGATTTTATAATAGCCACTGTGGGAACTAAACCTTAGGGTGTTTCAGTTTCTAACACACAGTCAGGAATCTCACAATACATAATCCCAACTCTAAGACCAACCAGCCATTGTCATTTTTATTACACCTTTTCAGGAAGAAAGGAAGCACTATACAATAA